GGGCCGCCGCGCGCACGAGCTGCGCCTGCGGGCCCTGCTGGAGCAGGTAACCAGGCCCCCCCTACCAGGCTCCCCTCTCCCGTCTTCAGCCGGGCCTCCGAGCACCCGGGCCCTGTCGCAGGGGTGGGCAGCACCAAGCCGGCTGACGCAGCCGGGGCGTCTCCGCACAGCGCGGTGAGCACGCGGGCCTGCCCGGGCCGTTCTGCCCCGGCAGTTCTTACTCCGGAAAACCGGCCCTTTTGAACCCCCCGGGCCGGGTAGCTCGGCTGGCATTGCCGTAGTGGCAGAGACTTTAGGGAGCCCCGAGATGAAAGGCCACGTTTGGGAGAAAAGGTGTTTGCCTTGGACTGTGCGTTTGCCGAGAAAGGCCCAGCAAACAGTTAAAAGATTTTTTTTTAAAACAGTAATACTAACAGACTGTTGCATCAGTTAAAAAAATGGTACTTGTGCCAAAACAACGTATTTCTTTGTCTCCAATGTACACAAATCATTATCAATGAATTCTCAAGTGCTTTAGTGCTTGAACATCCTTAGTCGCATAGCTACTTTTTCAAACTTAACTTTCATAGCACACTTCAGAAATTAATTAATTTTATTGAATTCGTTTTAGTGTTACTGGGACATGTGAAAAAAGCCTCTGGACTGTCAAGCTGCTGTAGTAATGCTTCATGGGTTTATGAGTACCTTCCCTCTAGGGATCTTTTCTGCAGTTTCCAAAGATGAGTGTAGTTCCCAACGCAGTGAAGAACAGAGAAAGCATGTCTCTGGTTGCAGTTTTGACGCATTATATTCTGTAAGTGGTTTCCTTACCCATTAGGTAGTAACTGAAAAGAAAAATATGCAGATAGGAAGATGTGTTACAAGTGAAACTATATTTCACTTCTGATCATCATTAATATTTTTGATTCTGTTATACCCAGTTATTTCCCTTTCTTCCAGTTTTCTCTATTGAATTCCTGCAGTTGTAGATTCTTGTCTAGAGAATACATCAAATAATCTATAGTCTTCTGGGGAGTAATTAACATGTGTGTGTTGCAGTGGGTTTGTGTGTACCTCAAAGAATATTTGAAAATGGAAATTAGCCAGAGTTTTAATATCAGGATGCACTAATGTAGTTGCACTGAATGTGTGGAAAAAGTAATCACTTAACTTTTCTCTGAAAAGGTTCGTAACATTGGATAATATAAAACAGCATAATGAAGATACAAACTGCTGTTTGCTGTTGGAAAGAAGGATAACAAGTTGCATAAAGTTGTGTTAATTTTTAATTTCCAAGTTTGGTAGTTAACTTTATATTATTATTATGAAGGGAAAATGTCCTGAAGATGGATGGGATGAAAGCACCATTGAACTGTTTCTTCATGAACTTGCTATAATGGACAGCAATAACTTTCTGGGCAACTGTGGTGTGGGTGAGAGGGAAGGAAGAGTGGCATCAGGACTCGTTGCCCGAAGGCATTACAGGTACAAATTATTAGCAATTTGAATTAGTCAGATTTATTATTATTGCTTTCAAATGGCATATTTTGTTGTCTTGTTATTGGAGACCTTGATAGTATTTGAGAAAAAACAATACAATGCAGTATTGAATTGATACAATCTTCTGTATTGAATTTTTATTAATAACTCATTGGAAAGTCTTGAATTAAACAAAAATCTTTTGTCAGGGTTATGTCCTGTATGCTGAGCTGTTGGAAGCTTAAGAGGTTGAGTTGACTGCATGTGAGGGAAGCAGAGATCTTCCTGTTTTAAAATAATCAGTGCATTACTTGCCTTTTCTAACACAATCCAGTTTTTAATCTGTATATTATTAAAAACTACTGCATAGTATAGTAAAGTACCAAACATTCCAGGTCAACAGCTGTTGGCATTTTGCTACATTTATTAATATCTTTATACTGTGATTAGCTGATATGCACAAGAAAACCCAGTCAATTTATAATACATTTTATATGAAGGAAGCAGATCTATAAGGAAAGAAGAGCTTTTAATAGCTTGCAGCCCTTCTAACACTTGATGGGTACGTTGGATGCTATAGTTCTAGAGGCTCTGCACTAATTCCTTTATGAAGGTATACTTTTTTTTATGGAGTTCTCTGCTGAGTACCTTGCTGTGATGTTTTATTTAACAGGAGTGAAACAAGGTGGTATTTCCTGGAATTTTTTGCCTTGAGAGATTAACACAAAATCCAGTGAAATCTCCCCAACAGAGACCAGAAATTTAGTAAGCTTTACCATATGGAAGTTGAATTACTTAGGCTTAATGGCTTTCATAAGCCCTACAGTACCATGAAAAATTAATGGAGAAAACCACTAATACATCAGTTTGGCTTTTTTCATTTCTGTGCTGCTCTCCAGACTAGGCAATGTGTGGTGACAGAGGCACAGGGTCATGCTGGGGAGAGTATCTGAGGAAATATTCCTTCCTGACAGTGCTGGAAAAAGCATGCCCAGTTTCTGGCCAGATAGAGCCTGGGCTGCCACACGCAGTTCTGTCACCTGGCATCCTGCCTGCACCTCTGTCAGCTATAACAAGGAAAGGCATAGAGGTGTCCTCCACTTACTAATGCAATAATTTTTACAGGTGTCTTTGGGAGTGGTGGAGGTAGCAGGAGGTGGTTCTCAAGCTGTCTTTGCTTTCAACTTAAGAAAATCTAAGGGCCAATCCTAGGGGGGACTGCCCTTTAGGAAGGAGTACATATGTGCAGAAAAGAAAAAGTAGTGGTATAAGAAAGCTGTTAA